AAACATGGGACTTCTCTATGGACTGAGCCATATGACACACCACCACCACACATATGGGTGGAGGGCCGAATACACACAGACTCACACCAGTAGACACAGGAAATGAATCCTGGCGACAACCACACCAACACTAGAACGAACACACACAGGGTTGCACCTACCTCCACGCACAAGGAACTCACATAGGCAAACCACACAACAACTAGAAAAGGCCACACATGAGTCCAATACACACCATCTGAACAATGCTCACCAGGAACATTGCAACCTAGATGGAAGCAATGACGAACACATACTTTTAGACGGCAAAGACGCGAAGAGGGAGACCGCAGGACCTAGGAGAACCCTAACGATTCGCTAGGGAGACGGTCCAACTAACAGAGATCACAAATACAAACGCAGGAAAGGAACACACAATTCTGGCCGCTAGGCTGGTACGACTACCCCCCACGATCCCCAGGCCACCAATAAACGCGGGAACCCAGGGGAATTAGGGGCCAGTGTGCCCCAGGATATAGCCAGCTAATCTTACCGACCCCACCAGAGGACGCACGATACCCTGAGACCAGGAACACATGTCAGGAAGGGGGATTTACAACAGAAAGGAGATAGGGACGAGAGGTAGCTGACAAAAGGGCCGAAAATGCGACCATAGAATAACGAGGCCTGCGGGCTCTATGGGAACGGACACATGATGTCAAAATAGATACATGGATACCTTACATTATGTTTGAGACCTGCGTGTCTCCTTTCCAAATCTGCACGCTTGTAAACAACTGCATTTACGTCAATAAAATTCATATTTACAATAAATAATAACAAAAAAAAAAAAAAAAGATATCGTCTGCAAATAGCGCTAGTTTATATTCCTTGCCTAAGATTTTGACGCCTTGTATGCGTTCGTCATTTCTTATTTTTTGTGCTAGCGGTTCGAGGGATAGTATATATAGTAGGGGGGATAGGGGGCATCCCTGTCGTGTCCCATTGGATATATAGAAGGGGGCTGAGAGGAAGCCACCATGGGCCACCTTGGCCGCCGGTTTCACATATAGCACCATAATCCCTTTGATAAATTCGTCTGGGAAGCCGAATCTTTGTAATACTTTCTGCATATAGGCCCAATTGAGCCGGTCAAAGGCCTTCTCCCCATCAAGTGCCAGCAGGAGGCCTCCGACCGACCCCCTCTCCATGGTAGCTAGTATGTTAAGAATTTTTCGCGTGTTATCGGAGCCCTGTCTCCCCTTGACGAACCCCGATTGATCGTTGTGTATTAGTTCGCTTATTATGGCCGTGAGCCTGTTACTTAATATTTTCGCATATAATTTGGCATCCCCATTTAGAAGGGAGATTGGTCTGAAGTTTTTGCAGATGGTGGGTGGTTTGCCTGGTTTGGGTAATGTCGAGATGTGAGCTAACAGTAGTTCCTCTGGTAAGGCTCCCGTGTCTAAACTGTGTTGGTATAGGTTTAGGAGGTGGGGGAGTAGTAGTTTGGAGAATTCTTTATAATATCTATTTGGTAGGCCATCTGGTCCTGGGGATTTGTGTGATGGTAAGTCAGCTATGGCTTTAGATATTTCTTCATGGGATGTCGGTTGTTTGAGTTGTTGTATTTTATCTGATGACAGGGATGGGAGGTGAACAGTTGCTAAAAAATTGTCAATATCTGCAAGCGTAGGGACTTTCGTTCCTCCGTCTTCACTCAGGTTATACAGTTTGTGATAATATGTGGAGAATTCGTTTACAATTTTGTTCGGATCGCTAACTTTCTGGCCAGTATTTGTGTTTAGGAAGGCAATCCTGGAGGCGGCTGATCTTTGTTTGAGCTGTGAGGCTAGTTTTGCTCCTGCTCTGTTGCCATAGGCGAAGTACCTGTGTTTGTATTTTTGTAGCAGGTATGTGGTTTTGGCCAGTTCAAAGTTTTGTAATTTAGTGTGGGCTTGCAGGAGAGCTGTTTTGGTCGTGGCTGATGGTGAGCATTTGTTTCTATGTGTTAATGCCGTTATTTCTTGGATGATTCCTAGGTATTGAGCTTGGCGTACTTTTTTGGCTTGACTTGCGTGTTTTATAAAACTGCCCCTGATCACCGCTTTGTGTGCTAACCATACAGAATTTGGCGATGTGTCGGGGCGAACATTTTCTGTGAAGTAGTTTTGGAGGTCTGTCCTGATTTGGGATACTATGACTGGATCCTGGAGTAGGGATTCGTTTAGTCTCCAGGCGGTTTGGCCAGGGGAGGGGCATTGTTCAGATATGGTCAGAGTGATGGGGGCATGGTCTGACCATGATATGATACCAATTTCTGCACTTATCATTCTCTCTAGTGATGTGTTCTTTATTAAAAATCTGTCAATTCTGGAGTAGCTATTGTGTGCAGCGGTGTAGCATGTGTAATCAATTTCAGCTGGGTGGGATATTCTCCATGGGTCTACAAAGTTATGTGTCGTTAGTATTCTGCGGATGTGGGATGTTTGTGTGTGTCTCTGTTTTGAAGTGGATATGGTTACCGTTCTCGCGGCTGAGGAGTCCATATTGATGTCTAGGAGAAAATTAGTGTCGCCTCCAAGGATTACCTCCCCAAAACTGTACATTGACAGGAGAGAGAACATGTTAGCTATAAATACTTGTTGGTTTTCATTAGGGCAATAGACATTTATCAATGTATACGGTTGATTGTTCATACGACATTGTAAGATAAGGTATCTACCCTTTTTGTCACTTATTTTTCGTACAAGTTCAAAAACAACATTCTTATTTATTAATATCGATACACCTCTTTTTTTTTGTGGTAGCACGTATGGTAGTCTACTGGGAACCAAGCAGAGTTGAACCTGGGTTTGGATCCCCACTGAAAGTGGGTTTCCTGAAAAAATGCCACCTGTGCTCCTTGTTTCTTGGCCTCCTGGAGGGCCAATCTACGTTTGTTAGGCGAATTTAAGCCTTTGGTGTTTAGCGAGAGAAATTTTAGCGGCATGGTACAGTTTTCCCTACGTGTTATGGTTTGATCACCGACTAGTTTAGTTGGTGGAGTGGGACAAGCACAGGTTTGTTGGGATGTTACCTAAACTGTGGGAGGGTGACCTGACGGTCAATCGAGGGGGATTGGGGGGAAAGTAAACTATGTACAGTTGCCCGTTAGCCTCTCAGGCTTAGTGCAAAGATTTGCAGACGGGTACGTGGGGGCCTACCTAGTAAGCCTTACGTGGGGGTTAGTGGTTTTTAAGTAAGTAAGTTGTGATAGCCAGTGTCCACCTCGTGTAGAAGGCGGAGATGAGGAAAGAAGAGGTAAAGAAAAAGAAAGAAAGGAAAAAGAAAAATAAAAAATAAAAAAACATAAACATATAAAAAGGAAGCAGGTATAAAGCTAAAACAGCAGTTATACAGTTAGCAGTGGTCTAACGCCCACCGTGGGCTTTTTTGTTGTTGTCATTATTGCATCAGAGATGTGCCATACATCAGCACATTCTTACACACATTCAACCTGTTAAACATGAAACCAGATTAATTAGTAAAGTTACATGTCCATGTGCGCAGATGGAGAGGGTTTAGGGATGAGGATTTCTTCGGCTTTGAGGGGTTGTCGTGATCCATGGAACGTGTTGCCAGTCTCTCGTCACTTTACGGGGTGGTGGCATGTCCGAACTTCTTGGGTCAGTTGTTGGGACAGGAACGTTCCATTCACCCAGAATTTTCCTTCCTTCTTCCGGTGTCAGGATTGCTCGATCTATTCCATTTCTCTTGATGATTAGTTTTGTAGGGAATCCCCATTTATACAATATATTTGCGTTTCGGAGAGCCGTTGTTATAGGTGCAAATGATCTTCTTTTAAACATGGTGGCCGCTGATAGGTCTATGAACAATGTAAGGTCTGTGTATCCGTCCGGAAGGGGTATATTCAGCCTGGAGGCCTGCATTATTTGGTCTTTGGCCGAGAAGTAGTGGATTCTAGTGATAACATCTCGGGGAATGGTAGCTGCCAGATATCGCGGCTTGGGCAGTCTGTGCGTTCTGTCAAGTCGGAGGTCGGCTTCTGTTAGCGTTGGGACCATAGATTTAAACAGCTTCTGTACATAATGTGGGAGGTCTTGTGGTCCCACATTTTCAGATATTCCACGGATCCTAATGTTGTTCCTTCTATCTCGGTCCTCATTATCTGCAATCTTCCCCTCTAAGTATTTGACCTTATTTTCCAGCGCTACATGCGCCTCTGCTAGGTCATTGTGCGCTTCTAATAGACCCTCTGTTTTTTCTTCCAAATGTGCTGTCCTGTCCCCCAGTGCCTGGATGTCAGTTCTTATATCAGATGCCATTTTTTGTATATCAGAGCATAGGGCTGCTTTAAGCCTTTCTAGCATTGTGCTTATTGATGCATCTGTGGCAGGTGTCATATCTGTGCTTTGAAAGCTGTTTTGGCTGTCTCCTACCTCAGGTTCCAGTATGGGGGATCCGGTGTCTCTGGCGCCATCTTGGATTTGCATAGGGGTTGCTTGCTGCACATTCAGGTGCGATTCGATCGTTTTTTGTTTCATTTTTTTTTATATTTTTGTTGTCATCTTGTTCCGAGTGATGTTAGTGCCTGGTAGGGCCGTTTTCGGTGGCTAGTTTGCTGGGATATCACGCTGTTAAGCCCACGGTGTGGCGGAGCTCACCGCTTATGCGACCTCTTCCATGCGGTCCGAAGCCACGCCCCCCCCTTTTTTTTTTTAATAAACATAGTAGTTTCAGAGAAACTGCTATGTTTATAAATAGGTTAATCCAGCCTCTAAAGCCTCTAGTGGCTGTCTCATTGACAGCCGCTAGAGGCGTTTGCTTGCTTCTCACTGTGAAAATCACTGGAGGAGTGCTCCCCGCCCGGCGCTGAAAAAAAGGTAAGTTTAACCCCTTTCCTTGCCATCCAGCCCGGCGGGAGAGGGACCCTGAGGGTGGGGGCACCCTCAGGGTACTATAGTGCCAGGAAAAAGAGTATGGAACTGCTGCAAAGCCACTGCCGCAGAGACATGCTAGGAAAGGCAGATGGATTACTGTAGGATCTGGTAGACTTAGAGTTGTGGATAAAAGGCATTTTGCACAGTCTGTTGCTCTTCATAATTCATTTTCTGCACTTTCAGAGTGTAATGGTGTTGTGGAGAGAGGCACTGAGGCTAGTGGTGTTGTGGAGAGAGGCACTGAGGCTAGTGGTGTTGTGGAGAAAGGCACTGAGGCTAGTGGTGTTGTGGAGAGAGACACTGAGGCTAGTGGTGTTGTGGAGAGAGGCACTGAGACTAGTGGTGTTGTGGAGACCGGCTTGGAGACTATGGTGAGGCCTAATAGAAAGCAGTTGTTGTTGGGGGATTCCATTATAAGAGGTGTGGAGATGGACAATGGTGGTCTTGTGAGGTGTCTTCCCGGAGCTACTGCTCACAGAGACAGGAGACGTATCTGTAATATTGTTAAGCAAGCAAAGCAGGAAGGGGAATTGGATGTACTTGTCCATCTAGGGACAAATGACTTGGCTTGCAATGAGGTTTCAGAGGTTAAGGAAGTTTTAGTGTTTTTGCCAATGATATACGGCAGGTTGCTTCCACACTGTCATTCTCTGAAGTTCTGCCTGTGCATAACACTCAGAACGACAGGCGGATGCGTATTAGGGACTTTAATTTGTGGCTTGGTGAATGGTGTCGGGAGCAAGGATTTGGCTTTATTTCTCATGGTAGCTCTGTTTGGAATGGAGATAAGCTGTACAAAAAAGATGGTTTGCATCTTTCTCAAAAGGGAACAAATGTTCTCAGTGAGCAGTTCAGAGGTTTTGCTAGGATGTATTTAAGCTAGGAGGGGGGGGGCAAAAGGGTGATAAAACATCAATCCAATTGTCCCCCAAAAGAAGGACAGAAGGTGCCTGTAGCAAGTGTGTTAAAAAATGATAAGCTTAGAGTCATGTCTACAAATGTTCGCAGTTTAGGGAATAAGATCCATGAACTTGTGGCAATAATGGCAACTGATAGTGTAGATTTAGTCGCTGTTACTGAGACATGGTACAATGAGAAAAATGACTGGGACATAGCAATACCAGGGTACTCTTTATATAGGAAAGATAGGGAAGGCAAGAAAGGGGGAGGGGTGGCCTTGCATGTGAAGGATAGCATAAAATCTAGCCTAATAAAAGTTAGTGAGGCAAACATAGAGTCCGTTTGGGCTACGTTAGAATTTGGTAATCACACAGTAACTCGTGTAGGTGTGATTTATAGGCCCCCAGGACAAATTGAAGAGTTAGATAATCTACTAGTTGAGGAAATAGCTAAAATGACAATGAAGGGGGAAGTTATCATCATGGGTGACTTTAATCTTCCTGATGTAAATTGGAAAACAAAATTAGCTACTTGTGCCAGGAGCACACATATTCTAAACTCCCTACTGGGATTGTCTCTAAAACAAGTTGTTGAGGAGCCAACTCGTAAAGAGGCATACTAGATTTAGTGTTAACAAATGGAGATTTGGTATCAGATATTACTGTAGGTGAAAGTTTAGGATCCAGTGATCATCAGTCAGTGTGGTTTAATATAAGAACAGTGACTGAGTCACACCACACAAAAACAAAAGTTTTAGACTTTAGAAAAACAGACTTTTCTAAAATTAGAATATGGGTAGAGGAGTCATTATCAGACTGGAGCAATTTAAATGGAGTCCAAGAAAAATGGGATTATTTAAAAGTTGCACTATTGAAGGCAACAGAAAATTGCATTAGGCTTGTCAGTAAAAGCAAAAAATTCAAGAAACCACTGTGGTACTCCGCAGATGTGGCCAAAATAGTTAAAAACAAAAAGTTAGCATTTAGGAATTATAAAAAAACCCAGAGTGAGGAAGACAAAATGATCTAGAAGATTAGGCAGAAAGAGGCTAAGCAAGTTATAAGAGCTTCCAAATCACACACAGAAGAGAAAATAGCACAGTCAGTAAAAAAGGGGGATAAAACATTTTTTAGATACATAAATGAGAAAAGAAAAGTAAAACAAGGATTAGTTAGATTAAAAACAAAAGAAGGAAGGTATGTAGAAGAGGATAAAGGTCAGGCTGACTGCCTCAATGAATATTTTTGTTCTGTATTTACAGAAGAAAATGAAGGAAAGGGACCTCAGTTGAGAAAAAGGATAAATGAGTCATTTATTACACGTGAGTTTACAGAGGAAGAGGTTCTATTTCAACTGTCAAAAGTAAAGACAAATAAGTCAATGGGACCTGATGGAATACACCCAAAGCTATTAAAAGAGCTTAGTGGTGTACTAGCAAAACCATTAACAGATTTATTTAACCAATCATTGTTAACAGGAGTAGTCCCAGAAGATTGGAAGTTAGCGAATGTTGTGCCCATTTACAAGAAAGGTAATAGGGAGGAGTCGGGCAACTATAGGCCAGTAAGCCTTACTTCAGTAGTGGGGAAAGTGATGGAAACCATGTTAAAGGATAGGATTGATGAAAATCTAAAAACACATGGATTTCAAGATCAGAGACAACATGGGTTTACTTCAGGGAGATCATGCCAAACTAATCTTATTGATTTTTTTGATTGGGTAACTAAAATTATAGATCAGGGTGGTGCAGTAGACATTGCTTACCTAGATTTCAGTAAGGCTTTTGACACTGTTGCACATAGAAGGCTTATCAATAAACTGCAATCTTTAAGTTTGGATTCCAATATTGTTGAATGGGTAAGGCAGTGGCTGAGTGACAGGCAACAGAGGGTTGTAGTTAATGGAATATATTCGAAGCTTGGACTTGTCACCAGTGGGGTACCTCAGGGATCTGTACTTGGACCCATTCTCTTTAATATTTTTATTAGTGATATTGCAGAAGGTCTTGATGGTAAGGTATGTCTTTTTGCTGATGATACTAAGATATGTAACAGGGTTGATGTTCCAGGAGGGATAAGCCAAATGACAAATGATTTAGGTAAACTAGAAAAATGGTCAGAATTGTGGCAACTGACATTTAATGTGGATAAGTGCAAGATAATGCATCTTGGACGTAAAAACCCAAGGGCAGAGTACAGAATATTTGATAGAGTCCTAACCTCAACATCTGAGGAAAGGGATTTAGGGGTGATTATTTCTGATGACTTAAAGGTAGGCAGACAATGTAATAGAACAGCAGGAAATGCTAGCAGAATGCTTGGTTGTATAGGGAGAGGTATTAGCAGTAGAAAGAGGGAAGTGCTCATGCCATTGTACAGAACACTGGTGAGACCTCACTTGGAGTATTGTACACAGTACTGGAGACCGTATCTTCAGAAGGATATTGATACCTTAGAGAGCGTTCAGAGAAGGGCTACTAAACTGGTACATGGATTGCGGGATAAAACTTACCAGGAAAGGTTAAAGGATCTTAACATGTATAGCTTGGAGGAAAGATGTCACGATTCGGGGAACCCAACACGCTGGCACACACACACACACACACAGAAAAGGTGCCGTACCGGACCTTAGAGTGGCCAGGCTAATCACGCTAAGAATAATCAGGAGACAAGCCAGGTAAAGGGAGCCAGAAAACGGGAGAACGAGAAACAAGCCGAGGTCAAAGGAGTGGAGAAGACAGGATAATCGGAATAACGAGCCAAGTAATCGGTAACCAGAGAGCAAGACGAGAGAACACTACGCTACAGGTATCACAAGACCACAACAGGGCACTGAGGGACAGGAAAGGTAAGTATAAATACCCTAGGTTTAATTCTGATTGGATAACTTCCAATCAGAATTAACAATCACACGTGGGGGATATCTATACCCCCCATTGTGATTGTGGTACTGTTTCTTTAACGCCGGGTCACTCACGTGACCCCGGCGTTTACTTAATTCCTGGACCTCCCAGCGTGCAGCGTTATACATGCTGCCGCTGGGGGGCGTGGAGGAGGGGAGACCGCGGGCGGCGATGGACTGAGGGTGAGTGCTGCAAGTGGCATGCAGCCTCCCCTCCTCGCCGCCCGCGGCTCCCTGACAAAAGACGAGACAGGGGTATGATATGATAGAAACATTTAAATATATAAAGGGAATCAACACAGTAAAGGAGGAGACTATATTTAAAAGAAGAAAAACTACCACAACAAGAGGACATAGTCTTAAATTAGAGGGACAAAGGTTTAAAAATAATATCAGGAAGTATTACTTTACTGAGAGGGTAGTGGATGCATGGAATAGCCTTCCAGCTGAAGTGGTAGAGGTTAACACAGTAAAGGAGTTTAAGCATGCGTGGGATAGGCATAAGGCTATCCTAACTATAAGATAAGGCTAGGGACTAATGAAAGTATTTAGAAAATTGGGCAGACTAGATGGGCCGAATGGTTCTTATCTGCCGTCACATTCTATGTTTCTATGTTTCTATGTCCTTTAAGTATTAAAAAATAAAAAAAAGTGGTCATTATTATAGCATGTACGACTATTTCAGCTTTATCACTCGCATATTGTTAAATCCCTTACCAATATGCATGTTGTCTGTCTGCACCTTGGGAATAATATCGTGGGATAAATATAATAACCCTGAATCAGAACGAAGTTCATGATATCATCTTGAAATAATGAACATAATTTTGAGCACCACTAATAAGGAACTGAAATCCATGAACTTCAACCGAATGCCTAGTAATAAAAACTTTAAGACAGTTTGTGAAAATGTCAGCTAGTGCAAAGTCCTTTTTAAATAGTCTTGCATTTTTTGAGCTTCATAGTGGTAAGGAAGTAAGGAAGTAATCTAAACAAATACAAAGAATAATTTTAACCTCTAACACATAAGCATTTTAGTAAGGCCAGTAAAGATATTATTGTTCTGAGCACCAAGATAGTTACAACGTATTTCACAGCACTTTATAGTTATATAGAGAGGATATACAATACTTTATAGTTATACAGAGAGGATATACAATAGCAATTAATTGACACACAAAATAAGTGTTAACAGATGCATAAACTCCAAATTCAACATTCTATAATACAGCTTTACTTTCAGCATTTCATAATTCTCACTTTAGTAATAGATTGCAATAGATTCTAAACACTTTGGGGCTGTACAATGATATGCCTAAAATATATATGCATACAATATTTTTATTAGTTGTATTTAGGCATTACTTCTATAGTGTAAGAAAAAGGCATGGCATTTTTTGTGGCATTAGTTTTGTATGCATGATCTCGCTTCTGATGCATGATCAAATAGTGTGTTTGATCATGGGCATATACACCATACTGAACATTTTATGATCTTTTATCAAACCCTACACTGTTTGTAAGTCACGATTTTTACTATATCAATATACTAGAACACTCTGTTCAATAAACAGTTTTTGAGGGGACTAAACTTGATTTGAAAAATGTAGACCAAAACAGAATATTTTAGGAAACAAAAACGACCATTAATCTGAATCTGAGAAATCTTTCAATTTATTTAGTTTGATCTACATTTTTCAATTTGCTTGTAAACTCACAATAACTCACTATTTAGAAAATAAACTCCTTGAGAATTAATAACAGAATTCATGCAATTT